GCAGTTTTCCTCCTTTAAATCTAGTACATACTTGGTTAGATTTATATTTAGGTATTTCATTCATTTGGGTGTTAATGTAAATAGCATTGTCTTTTTAATTTTAAGCTCCACTTGTACATTGTTGGCTTATAGGAAAGCAATTGACTTGCATATTAATCTTGTATCCTGCAACCTTGCTGCAATTGCTTATTAATTACACGAGCTTTTGTCAATTCTTTCAGATTTTCTACATAATCATATCATCTTCCAACAAAGACAGTTTTAGGTTTTCTTTCCATAGATAGATAGATAGATAGATAGATAGATAGATAGATAGATCGATCTTTTATTTCCTTTCTTGCCTTATTGCATTAGCAAGGACTTCAGTATGATGTTGAAAAGGAGTGGTAAGTGGGTACACCCTTGCTTTGTACCTATCTTAGTGGGAAAACTTCCAGTTTCCCACCATTGATTATGATGTTAGCTGTAGGTTTTTTATAGATATTCTTTATCAAGTTTAGAAAGTTCCCCTCTGTTCCTAATTTTCTGAGAGTTTTTATCCTGAATGAGTGTTGGATTTTGCCAAATAATATAATCATGTAATTTTTCTTTCTTAGCCTGTTGATGTGATGGATTACATTAATTGATTTTTAACATCTGAACCAGCCTTGCATACCTGGGATAAATCTCATTTTGTCATGTTATATAATTCTTTTTATATACTTTAAAAAATTTGATTTGCTAATGTTTTGTTGAGGATTTTTGAATCTATGTTCATGGGAGGTACTAGTCTGTAGTTTTCTTTTCTTGTAATGTCTCTGTACGGTTTTGGAATTAGAGTATCATTGGCCTCATAGAATGAGTTAAGAAGTATTCTCTTTGTTTCCATCCTCTGAAAGAGACTATAGATAAGTGGTATAATTTCTTCCTTAACTGTCTTACGATTCACCAGTAAGACTATCTGGGTGCAGTGCTTTCACTTTTGGAAGGTTATTAATTATTGATTCCATTTCTTTAATAGATATAGGCCTATTCAGATTGTTTATTTCTTCCACTATGAGTTTTCACAGATTGTAATTCAAGGAATTGGTCCATTTCATCTGGTTATCAAATTTGTGAGCACTGAGTTGTTCACAGTATTCCTTTATTATCCTTTTAATTTCCATGGTTTCTAGAGTGATGTCTTCTCTTTCATTTCTGATATTAGTAACCTGTATTATCTTTTTTTTGGTATAGTCTGGCTAGAGGCTTATCGATTTTATTGATATTTACAAAGATCCAGCGTTTGGTTTCATTGATTTTCTCTATTAATTGCCTGTTTCCAATTTTATTGTTGCTCTAATTCTTTTTCTTTTTAACTGAACACTCCACAGTCTCTCCTTTCTTCAGCAAGAGACAGAAGTTAAACTGAGATTCATAAATGATTAAACACAACAGTAAAATCTGCAGTGCCTTTTTCATAAGCCTAGCAGATGCTTTGTTGAAATATTCTTGTTTCTATGGCCTGCTGAGATAAAAGATTCTAGATCCTGTAATCTATGCAATGAGGAAAATAGCCATAGCAACTCAAAAAGTTGTTGTTTAACATAGAATACATATAAAGCACAAGACATAGTGCCAGATATATATAGGAACTCAAATAGTTGTCATTAACTTCAAATTGACATTTTGGTAGAGGAATACTCCAGACCAGGCTCCTACTGAGTTCAGAGACAAGAAATCAGTTACATAAACAAAATCATTCTGTTCTTCAATTTTCTTGTGCTTTTTGGCATAATAAAGGGGTTTTAAATTTTTCATTATTGTAATATTTTCACTACCTTGTCTATCTATACTTAATCTCGTATTGTACTTATGATAGTTTCAAGAAATGCCTAATAAGAACATGAGATTTTAATCATAAAACTTCTAGTTGTGTGTGTATTTTATATAATTGTCATTTACTCTTGGATCTGCAGAGCTTTTATTTCTTTTCTTTTCTTTTGCTTACTTTGAATTTAATTTGCTCTTTTTCTAGTTTCCTAAAGTAGAAATTTAGATTAATGATTTTAGATCTTTCTTCTTTTTAATATATGCAGTCAATGCTATAAATTTCCCTCTAAGAACTGCTCTCACTGCATCACACAAATTTTGATAAATTGTGCCTTCATTCTAGGGGTGCCTGGGTGGCACAGTCAGTTGAGTGTCCAACTCTTGGTTTTGGCTCAGGTCATGATCTCAGGGTTGTGGGATTGATCCCCACCTCGGGCTCTGTGGGGAGTCTGCTTGAGAGTCTCTCCTCTTCTCCCTCTGCCCCTCCCCCACACTCTCTCTTGAATAAGTGAATAAATCTTAAAAAAAATTGTGTCTTCACTTTAATTTAGTTCAAAATATTTTAAATTTTTTCTTTAGATTTCTTTGACCTAGGTGGTATTTAGATGTGTTTGATTAATCTCCACATATTTGGGGATTTTCCAGTTGTTCTCTTGTTATTGATTTCTAGTTTAATTCCATTGTGCTCAGAGAGCAGACACTGTATAATTTCTATTCTTTTCAATTTGTTAGGATATATGTTATGGCCCATGGAATGACTTTTCAAAGGTGCAGCTGAAACTAGAGCTTGGAGAGGACACTCTAAATCACTGACCATCATATGGTGCTGTGTTACCAAAAGGTAGACTTGATGAGTTTAGGAACCAGTGGGGGATAATAGGAATGGCTCTGTTAATAATTACTTCCTGGGACCCACATAAGAAATTTGTGCTGCCCATCCCTGAAATTTCTTTACTCTCGTTCTAGGGGTCTTGGTTCCTATATAAGGAATGCTTTCACCAAGGTAACAGTAACACTGCTACTAAACTTAAAACTTATGACTGCTGCACAGTTTCTTTGAGTCTTTCATTGTAAGAGAGCAACAGGTACAACAAGGACTCAGCATCATAATAGGGGTAATTGACCCTGATAATCAGTATGAGATAGGGCTACTGTTGAATAATGGGGGCAGAGAAGAATATGCTTGGCACCCAGGTAATCCAATTATGTGTCTTTTGCTGCTACTTTATCCAATTATGATAGTAAACAGACAAGTAGAACAGCCAGGATGACCCTTCAGAATAGTATTTAGTTAAGACAAGGGAACTGGACATTTTTATTCCCACGTTAACTACTCATTGCATATTCTCTGCCCTTAGGAAGGGAACATAACTGTGAACAAAGTGGTTCCCTTTAGCCAAGGGCTAGTCCCAGAGAGGGTCTCACACTGAGCCTACAGCAGCAGCTAGCCATCCTGGAACCTACAAAAATGAGTGCCTTGGTCTTAGTCTGAGTCTGGTTCCCAGGGGAATCTGACCTAAAACAACATCAAGTAAGAAAAATTATGTGTGTATAAAATACATGCATATATACACACATATAAGAAGTGTATAATATATACATGTGTGATGGTTAATTTTATGTATCAACTTGTGGACCACATGGTACCTAGATATTTGGTCAAACTTTCTGAGTATTTCTGTGAGGATCTTTTTCAATGAGGTTAACATTTAAATTGGGAGACTGAGTAAAGCATGTTGTCCTCCCTAATGTGACTGGTCCTCATCCAGTCAATTGAAGACCTGAACAGAACAAAAAGGCTAAGTAAGAAGGAACTTCTGCTGCCTGAGTGGTTTGAGCTGGGACATTGGCTTTTTCCTGCCTTTGAAACTGAACTGAAAAATTGTTTCTTCCTAGGTCTCAAGCCTGCTAAGCTTTGGACAAGAATTATGCCACTGGCTCTCCTGGTTCTCATTCCTTTGGTTTCAGACTATAACTATACCACCAGCTCTCCTAGGTCTCCAGCTTGCCAACTGCATATCTTAGGGCTTCTCAACCTCCATAACCATGTGATCCAATACCTTATAATAAAATATTATACACAGAGACAAAACATAAACATACACACATATCCTATTGGTTCTGTTTCTCTGAACCATGAGTAATATATATTTTAATATATATGTATATATGCAGGTGTGTGTGTATATATACATATGATCAATTGCTATTTGACTACTTGTGATGAATAAATATCTAAATTATAGAGAAGTTATAAATAAAATAAATATCAATATAAAATACATATAAAAACCCAATGAGGTAGTAAAATATAATTCTTTTTCCACTGGAATATTGGTCTCATTAATTTCAAAACTGAATTGTAATTCTCATAATAGCAGCTACTATTATTTAGCTGTTACCACTTCCCAAGCTTTGCAATAAATTTTTATTAAATCTTGCTTTTATGGAAATATAATATTGTTTCATTTGTAATTAACTATCCCATCATATATTTCCAGAAGATAAGGATTCTGCCATTAAAAATTACCACTATACCACTATCACCCAGAAAAAAAGTAATAATTCCTTATCATCATGAAATACCACTTGGTGCTCAAGTTGGTATTTGTTGTATTAGTTGTCTTCTATTTTTTAGTGTATTTGTTTGAATCAGGATCAACAAGTTCCATATATTCAGATGGTTTGCAAATATCTTAAATCTCTTATAATCTATAATTTGCCTTTCTATTCTTTCCCTCTTTTTTTAATGGAAAACTGGATTGGTTTCTGTGGTAGGCTGAAAAATACCTCCTCTCAAAGGTATGCACATCCTAATCTGTGGAAACCTAGAATGTAAACTTAACTGGCAAAGGGGGGGGGGGTGCAGATATTGTTAAATTAAGGATCTTGTAAAAGGGAGATTATCCTAGATTATCTGGGCAATCCCTAAATGCAATCACAAAGGTCCTTACAAGTGAGAGGCAGAGAGAGATTTTACATACACAAAAAAAGAATCCAACATGACTAGGGACACAGAGATTGAAGTGATGTGGCCACAAACCAAGGAATGCTGGCAGCCACCAGAAGCTGGAAGAGACAAGGAACAGATTCTTTTCTAGAACCTTTGGGGAGAATATGGCCCTGCTGACACCCTGATTTCAGCCCAGTGATACTTATTTAAAACCTCTGGCCTCCAGAACTGTGAGAGAATAAATTTCTGCTTTTTTTTTTTTTTGATAGTAAGATGGATTTTATCTATAAAACAATGCAAACTCCCCGTGGAATTAGGAAACATTTTCAATTGTTATTCATAAAATTATTAATCAAAACAGCAAAAGTGGATTTACAAAGCTACATTATCAATAGCAAAACAGGAAGGAGATGAAATGTTTGGCAGATGTCTTGAAAAGTTTCAAAGAAACACACACCAGGCTAAAGGTCTACAGTTAAACTGTGCTTGCACAACAGGTTACATTCACTCCTGCATTTTCTCAATAAGTTCTTCCTTATATTTGCCTTTCTCTTTTCCAACCTGTCGAGATTTGGCTTTGCGTTTGAGAATTTTCTTCCCATCTTTGTCCAGCTTTAGCCTGGTAATAACCACCTTGCTCGGATGAATGCCCACATGCACAGTTGTCCCATTAGCCTTCTCACGCTGCACCCGCCCGATGTAGATGACATATTTCTTTCTGTACACCTGGACCACCTTGCCAATTTGCTGACCTTTGTAGTGTCCTCGAACCACCTGGACCTCGTCGTCCTTGCGGATGGGCATGGAGCGGACGCTGTACTTCCGCCGCAGCTCCTCGGAGAGTGGGGAAGACATAATCTTCCTGCGCATGTGCAAGGGCGCATTGAAGTGGCTTTTGCGGTTTTTGCTGCGGTCTGAGGTAACGAAGGGGTTGAACTTCATGCTGACCGTCTTGCGCCCGTTATGTCAAATTTCTGCTTTTTTAAAGCTACAATTATCCAGATATTTGTTACAGCAGCCATAGGAAACTAACACATTTTTCCCTGAATAACTTTCTACTGTCTGGGTTTTGCTGATTTCATTCATTTGATTTTCATTCATATGTTCTTCTGTCTTCTGTATTTCCTGTTCATTGCTATTTCTTTCACAAGATGATTTTATAGGAGGTTTGTGTACCTCTATCTGGGGGTATATTCTCTCAGGTTGTTTCTCATTTGTAATTTTTTAGCACCTACTATTAAATGTTGCCTAGATCCATTTATTCATTAAGGGTTACCAAATATTTAAAATCTCTGTGATAGGTACTATATTTATATATACACATATGTATATATAATCTTCAATCTTAGCAACAACCTTGCATTTTTGGTATTATATGATCAGAAAACTAATAAATTTTGAAAGTGGAGGATTAAAATACAAAGTCTGGAGTATGTCTATAATGCTTCAGTTTTATCAGGAAGCTTGAGTGAAACAGGTGAGAATTAGACATGTTTAGATGACAGCAACCCCACCACTGTCCTCAGTATCTATATTATCCACTGATTTAGATGGAAACTAGGAGTCTCTGTGGGAAAAACATTTCTCATGTAGATGTTATACATAAAATATGCACATTAGAGATCCTTAGACTTTAATATATTTTTTTAAGGCTGTCTTAAGCCAGTTTTGAGGCCCTGGCTAGAGGCCAGTTCCCCTTCTTGAACAGCTAATTAAGTCCTTATCCCAACTACTTCCCTTATCAGGCTCTCACACTCTGGGCCCCTATGTACCTTCTCTAACCACCCCAGGAGCCAGATACCAGACAACTAGGAAAAGCCCCCAAGAGTACAAGAATTTATTCAAGTTAACCAATCCACAGGAAGCCCACAAAACCTAGCTAACCCCACCCCACTTGTGATACATAAGCTGCCCTCTACAGCTCCAAGCTTGCTGTTACCCTATCCCCAAATGCAACCTGCTGTGTGGCCCTGCCTGGCAGCCTTCTCTCATTTGGAGCTGTAAGAAACAGAATTTTGCCTTTCATCTATCCCAGCATCAGTACATTGTGTCCCACTATCTAAAGAATTTTTAAATCTTATAAAAGACTATTCCATCTCTTTTTCGCCGCCATCCTGCTCTGCGTGGCTGGCTGCTTCTCGCCATGTCTTCTCACAAGACTTTCAGAATCAAGCGATTCCTGGCCAAGAAACAAAAGCAGAATCGTCCCATTCCCCAGTGGATTTGGATGAAAACTGGTAATAAGATCAGGTACAACTCCAAGAGGAGGCACTGGAGAAGAACCAAGCTGGGTCTATAAGGCGTCACACATCATGAGATGACACACTTGATTGGCACACATATTTAATTAAGCTGCGTGAAGATCATGTGTTCTATCATTCTGTGAACATCCTTCCTACCTGGCCGTAGACTTGTCTTATCATGGAAATGATTTTTCTCTGTGACTATGCCTCTGCACCAGTAGGTTGGTTCGGTAATAAATGCGAGACCTTTCACCTCTAAAAAAAAAAAAAAAGACTATTCCAGCTTTACATAGAAATGATAAAGTTAGGTCTTTCTTTGACTTGCTTTTCTTTTTCAATCACCTATAACTTTGCACAGACCATTAAAAGTACTTTTTAAATCTCACAGCTATTATTTTATTGTGATCTTTTTCTTCACACTAACCCACTGAGGAAGGCAGAATAAGGATTATTGTTTCTACTTTATAATTGAGAAACTGAGACTTCAAATAGTGAAGTGACTTGTTCAAAAGCAAACACTTAATAATGGATTACATCCAGATATTGTAATTCTAAGTCACTGTTCCATCATGTTACTTCCAATTATCATCTACCCATCCACCTATCTATCCATCCTTCCATCCATCCATCCATCCAACATTTATTGAGTATATATTATAAACCAAGTAGACACTAGGCTCTGGGGGGTATAGAGATGAACCTGGCACAATCTCTGTACTCAAAAGATCTTAAGAAACAGAGATAGAAAAGAAAATTACAATATAATACATTTAGGTTCTATTAGAAAGTACTTGGTGTCACAGATGGGGGTCTTCACCCCAAGTCAAAGGAAACTTCCATTACCATTGAACACTGAACATGTCACAGTTATGTAGAAGTCAGGTACATGGGCAGATGGAGCAACATTCAATTTATTTACCAAAACACTTCATAGTAACCATGCTAGGCACTCAGCTTCAAAGTTCCTTCCTTCAAAGAGTATATTAGTTACAAGGACAGACAAGTATGTAAAGAAACATGTTACAATAAAGTATGCTAAGTTCAATGATACAGGAATGTACATGTTACAGTTGGGTCACAAAAAAGGAATGACAAACTCTACCTAGGAGAAAAGAATCACAGTCTCCCAGCATAAATGACTGGGATGATAGCCTGAAGAATGAATAAAGGCCCACTGACAGGACTGTAGGAGAAAAAGCATACAGGAAGAAAAGGATATTCAAAAGTAAACATAAGTATGCTTATATAGACACAAAGAACTGCTAGCCAATGAGAGTACCACCCCACTCCACACTGACTAACTGCATATAGATCACACTCTAAAAATAGCCAAATGGTGTACAAGTACTTTTAGCTCTTGGCACAGGTCTTTGATATAACCTCATCAGAGATTCCCCTAGTAAAAGTCTGATTAGATCCACTATTTCTGGCCTACCTCTTTAAGGCCACATGGGATTCCCCAGCAAGGTTGGTACGCTTGCCCCTCGGTAAGATATGATACCACTCAACTGTTCTGTTTAGTGACATGAACACAGGAGAAAAGTAAACAAGTCACATTACAATTCTGAAGACAACAGTATAAAAGATGACTTGAAAAGCAATGTACACATTTGCAGATCACAACCCAGGTCATTCAAATTTATAGAGAGGTAAAAAGAAGCCAAACCCTCAGCTCAGGTTCATTTTACAAATATTATCGCTCCAATCTTTTTCTCATCAGCGGCCCTGACCTTGACTCACTCTCTCATTGGTGCACACTGCCTGATAGGACTATGAATCATGCCAGGAATCAGATGGGTCCAAAGGGAATAGTGCCATTCCTTATAAAAATCATTTGGGAAGCGTATGTACAATGACCATAACACTAATGCTAACGGGTGTAGAACACTTTCTTTCACATTAAGACCAAGTTTCCTCAGGCATCAGAAAAATCCCTCCAGTTATGTAAATGATGTAGGACTTCAAAAAAAGGACAAGTTATAAAAGGACAAGGGGAGTTGGGAAGTGTATGATATGTGCAGACATATAATGAATAAGTATGATTGAAAGTGGACTTTGATGTTTTTGCCCTCTAACTACTTTAGCATCCTGATTTTCATACAGCACAAACATATTCTTGTCACTCATTCTGGAGATTTTCAAAAGCATTTTTTTCTTTCAAATATAAAGAGACACTTTAATTTTTTTTAGGTTTTCGTTTAAAGCTTTACGTCAGCAGTTTTCCTCACCTGAAATTACCTCCACCACTCACACATCTGTCCAAAACCTAACCTATCCCCAACATCTTCCCATACTCAGCTATCCTTTCATAGAATTTCTAGAACATTTTTAACCAGCTCCACATAGTTGCATCTAAGATTATTTTGCTTCAAATCTTTCAGGATTCAGCTCCAGGTTCTGGTAAGCCTTCCCTGACCCTAGAGCTATTATTTAGTTACCCTTCTTGTCTTTTCCTAGGATCCAATCTATGCTGTTACCATACTGTAACTAGAGGTTTGCAAATCTGTATCCTGCAATTAGCTCAGAGATTTATTATGGTAAGGAACTTGTTTGATCCATATGGCATAATATCTAGTACTTGGTAAGAAATAGGAAGTAACTTTGTGAAATTAAAAAGACAATGATAATAGACAAACCTCTGGCAAAGGTAATGAAAACAAAATAAAATTCAAAAACAAAAAATGGAAACAGGAAAGATTATATTGATAAAATAAATGGTTTTGTGAGAATATCAAAGATACCAAAATTGGCACAAGAAGTAAAAAACTTTGAAAGACTAATAATCATGAAAGGGATAGGAAATACTCTCAAAGCCCCTTAAAAAGGCTCCAGGCCCAAACAGTTAGTGGTAGAGTTCTTTTATACCAACAATTCTCAACTGGTGAGTGTGTATACGGAGGAGTTGCCCCCCACCACACCCCGAGGACATTTGGCAAGGTCTGGAGACATTGTGGCTTGTCACAGTTGAGGGACAGGGCACCTACCAATATTTAGTGGGTAGAGACCAGGGATGCTGCTAAACATCCTACAGAGCACAGGGCAGATCCCCACAACAAAGAAGTATCCAGCGCAAAATGTCAATAGTACCAAAGTTGAGAAACCCTGCTCTATACTTTTTTTTAATTATTGTGGTTTTTTTAAAGATTTTATTTATTTATTTGATTGAGAGAGAGAGAGAGCACGAGAAGGGAGAGGGTCAGAGGGAGAAGCAAACTGCCCGATGAGCAGGAAGCCTGATGCGGGACTCGATCCTGGGACTCCGGGATCATGACCTGAGGCGAAGGCAGTCGCTTAACCAATTGAGCCACCCAGGCGCCCCTGCTCTACACTTTTAAAGAAAATGTAATAGCGTGCTATATAAAACCTTCCAACACATACAAAGGAAAGGTCCTCAAAGCAGCTTGTAATGCAAGCATTACTCTGATACCCAGACATGAGAAAGATGATAACAAAGATGTAAATATATATATATATATAATATACAATAGACTGATATACGCATCATCTACAATGTCATATGTATATGTATCATATATATATATACACACAAAAAAAGGTGAAACAATGACAAAACATATCTAGCAGTATATATAACATATTCGATAATGGGTTTTATTAATTGTGGTAAGAACACTTAATATGAGACCTACCCTCTTAAAGTTTTAAGTGCACAATATTGTTAACTATAAGTAAAATGTTCTACA